TTGGCGTGTGCTCTTTTATATGGTAATGATATTAATTAGGGGGCGTTTACAAGGCGGAGATCTGACACCAGTCAGCTGTGCACAATTTCAAGATCATTTGCGATTTATAAATGTAACATCTGGAAGAGAGGCGTTTTCTCTGAAATCACACTTACACACTTTTGAGTAACGATCTTAGAACAAATTTAGGACGGTTTATATGCAACATTTTATAAATGAGGCCCCTTGTCTCCTAGACGGCCACCGGGACAAGACCACAGGAACCAGATGAGTCCTCTGCACAATCTGACTTTGCTGCAGCCTGGAATTGAACAGCTGGTTCGTCCGGCCAGAGGACTGAGCCTGGTTTCTCCCAAGGTTTTTTCTCCATTCTGTCACCGATGGAGTTTTGGTTCCTCTGGCTTGCTTAGTTGGGGACACTTAATTTCTAGCGATATCGTGGACTTGATTGCACAGATACTATTTAAACTGAACTGAGCTGGATGATGACATCACTGAAATAATTTTGCATTATTGACACACAATATTTTCCTATTTAATACTGTAAAGCTGCTTTGACACAGTCTGTATTGTTAAAAGCGCTTTATAAATTAAGGTGACTTGACTCGCGTGAACAAGCACCAATTTGCCTCCAATTTCAGGCATTTGTCGGCAATTTTGCAAAACCTGTAGGCAAGTGAAAATCAGGTTTAAAATCGTGCAGTGTGAACTCGGCATTAGTGAATAAATGTACATGTTGGAAATCAGCGTGCAATAGTAACTTAATAATGGTTTAGTTTGTGCTTCAGATCAGTTCTCAAAGATTGTAGTGCAATCGTATGCAGTAATGTCAAAGTACAAGTACAGATAGTGAGTATTATTTCTAGGCACTGGACAAGAGAATTTAAACACAATCACTGGTACATGACTAACCACTTTTATTCACAGTATAATCTCACATTTCCTTTTTCAGCAGAGACAGTTCAGCGTTCAGTTCAGGAGCTCTGCTGGAGCTTTGATCACAGCACACAACCACTCTACACAGCGGACACATATCAAAATGAGACAGAATGACATTAACAGACACATTACAGCTGTGTGCATTTAAAAAAGCAAAGAGAAGCAAAGCAAAATCAGAGAAAAACATCCCTGACTAGCATGGCTGGAATAGACTTTGGGCTGTGAAACGGTGAAATACAGGACACAGATCCACTTTTGTGCTGAAATACTCAAACACATAGACAGAACACACACACACACACTGTAATGTCACATTATGACCAGAGATAGTCAGCAAATAAATACAGCAGATATAATTCACATGACAACACAGAACAACAGCACAAGACAGCTTCTGTTGGTCTCCATGGGGTGGTTTGTTGTTTTGCTAGAGGTTCTTCTCTCTTGAGTGTATCTATATCTGTATGAGAGCCTTCGATTCAGGCTGGACGAAACACACTGACACACTGCTGTTCTTTAATCATATTACAGGCTTATGTGACCATCTATAAAATCACTAATGCCATGTCTGATCATTGACATTGAGTTTGGCTTGGGAAAATCCCCATGTCTGTTCACATGTTACTAAAGCTCAGCCTCAGCACAGCCTGACCTGCAGGCCAGCTCTATGGACACTGATGTGACTGTGTGAGGCTGACGGCAGATAAATGCTCATCCCATTCATGGACCTCTACGCCACCAGCAGCACTCAAACTTGTCAAGGATGGCTTTGGATTGAAGCGTCTGCAAATACAGCACTACTCTCCACATCTACAGCATGTTGTCTTCTGACAGAATTGTATTTTACATTATTCACACACAAGTATATCACATAAATATATCAATTTATATGTTGACTGTCCCTTTCTCAGAGAGTCTGCCAAGTTCAGAGTCATTAGGGCTTCTGATGAAAAACCATGAACATAACCATGAAAAACTTTAAAACACTGCCATAAAAACGAATATTTATATGAAATTTTATCCAAATCAGAGGGCTGCATTAGACACTGCAGTTACGCATTCAAATCTTCTGGAGGACTAGGGATGATTTATTGCTGACTGTCATCAGAAAATTCACAATGTTCGATTCACAATGTCGGTCCGGCTCAGATTTGGCCTGAGAGGGAGACGGTTAGATCGCTGTCAGGCCAGCTGTCACTTCGGGTTTTAAGAGATTAGTTCAGCCAACAATGGAAACCATCATTATTTACTCTCGTGTCATTTCAGTCCTGTATGACTTCTTTCTCTCTTTCCTTTCCAGAGAGCACCATTAAAGCATTCTATACGACCAGCGCACTATTCAGAGTCAGACAGCAGCCCTGTGTGAGAAACACAGCCATTACTGACTGAGCACGTTCCCTTTTGCCAGGTCATGCTTTCAACTCTTTCCTCACCATTGAAGAAATTTTCCGGCATTCTGTGTTTTCACTGTTATACAGTAGGGGGTGGTATAACATTTATCATCAATCAGCATATCAATCAAAACCACCTAAAGTTAACTCAGTACTGAATGTGATCTGGATGCAGTCATTGACTAAACACCATTTTCTCAGCTTTTTGATCAAAACATTTGAGTGTAGATAAAAAAAACAATGCATGAAAGTAGAATAAAACCTTTTTGTTTGTTTGTTAAAAGCAGAGACTCTGCACGTTCAGATATTCATGCAACTAAATATTCTGGGGGCCATGAGAATTTTGTGACAATGATCAAAAATGCTGGCGGACGCTGGCAACTTGGCTGAAAAGAGTTAAATGAATCAGGCTGGGCTGTGTGAAATTGGAAAAGATTTGTTCTTTTACAAACTGACTGTAGAAAGGGAAGTAACACTAATATTGACTGGTGTGAAGTTGGTACGGTGTTCACTGAGTGGCAGTATGAATCACCGTCCACCATCCTGGCTTCGACCGCTTTTATGTTTCAAGAGAAAAATACAGGGTTGAAATGACATGAGTAAGTAATGAGAGTTCCCGCTTTCAGGGTATAATTCTTCTGTCAAGAAGTGACAGTCCAACTGAACGTAGAAAGCCGTGGACGAGGCAGCCGGTTCTAGACCTGTGAGATAAGCTGCATGTTGAAGCTGGGTGACCGGCTCTGTTTTCCAGGAGAAAGCAGCTCCACCTCCTCCGGCAGTTGCTGCTCCTGCAGGCTGAGGATGGAGTATCTGCGAGCCTCGGCGACGGAGCCCAGCCCCGTCCTGCAGTCCAGAGAGGTGCTGGAGGTCCTGCGAGCGGACGGGCGGTTCTTCCTCCCGCGCACACCGCTGGGCTGGCTGCTGCTGGACGCGCCGGACGAGAAGCCCTCATCCGCATCGTTCAGGCCGGAGGACTCCTCCTCCCTGCTCAGCCCGTCTACATCTACCACAGAGAAACCATACAGGACAGAATGAATTCAAGAGACAGATGAAATGAGATCGTATCGCTTTCTGAAAGCGCTTTGTCTCCATATGTTACAAGAGTGTCATGAAAACCATTGGGAGTGAGAACGTGTTGTTACGTCCTCTGCAGCAGCATTCACTTCCTGTCTGCAGAGGACGTAACAACACGTTCTCACTCCCAACTCGTCACATACTGACGCTTGGTCAGGACCCTTTGGCGGCTCTTTTTGACACACAGGGGTATCCTTTTAGCGTCACTTTTCGACGTGCAGGGTCCTCCATTGTTTTCAGTTAATTAATGGTTTTAATTTAATGGTTTGCTTGCATTTGTAAAAAAACAGAAATCATTTTATATACATTTATACTTTCATTGGAGCACCTAACCCTAAACCTACCCACTTCTGAACAATACAAAACATGTAGCAGGCAAATATAAGCGCAGTCACAGGTATTTATTTCAAAAACTGACCATAAACAAGCAGTATAAAACCATTACAATCAAGTCCTGTTGCATTCCAAGTCTTTGGAATTAAGGTTTAGGTTTAGGTTAGGCTTAGGTTTAGGGGCAGGGGTTGGGTTACGTGCTCATAAATGTGTAAATAGTGTAATGTAAATAAAACTGTTGTGGCTATTTACATTGGAAAATCACACCCCAACATATATGCAATATTGGCAATATTATTACCCAATATATAATTTAATCATGGCGATAAAACTCCCCGTGCCTTTCTCGTTGGCATATTCATGCCAAGGGTTTCTTATTCAAAGCAATGGAGGACCCTGCACGCCGAAAAATGATGCTAAAGGGGTACCCCGTGCATCAAAAAGTGACGCCAAAGGGTCCCGACCAAGCGTCAATATGTGACGAGTTTGGAGTGAGAATGTGCTGGAATTAACAGAAGAGCAAGACTCTACAGAATGATGTGATTCATGAGATCTGATCTGGGATGAGAACAATCTGACAAATCAGTCTCAAAGTAAACTATAATAATGAAAATAAGGTCAGATCTGTGCGTTTGTGTGATTTCATTGGCCGTGTATTAAATAGCTTTGACCTCATCAACTCGTTACTGAAGAGCCATTAAATGACTGAGTAGAAGGCACTTGCACATTCAATACTGAGCAATCCGATTACACTTTCAGCAATCAATGAGAGAGTAGTTCTGTCATCTTCATCTACCCTGTTTAAATATATCCCAAAAAAACTATGCAAATTCTGTCTGGTCCAAACAGGAATAATGGACTGAAACAAGTAACAAGATACTGAACAGATGATAGATTTAACCATCAGCCAATCTGCATGTCCTCATTCATCACAATTACATTTTAATAAGTTATATACAGTGCGTGCATAATTATTAGGTAAGCTGATATTCTGACCATATTTTTTTCCAAGCACATTTGACCAATTCCAAACCACATCAGTCTTAATTAGGGCTGCCCCTAATAGTCGACTAATTGTTAGTCGACCAGAAGAGGCTTGGTCGACCAACATTTTATTAGTCGCAGAAAAAATAATAAATAAATAAATAAAAATCCACAGGCGAAGTCACGCAGTTCGTGACGGACAGATCGTTAACGGCTAGTAATACAGTACACCAGGAAGGACATCCAAACGCTCGCCTATCATTCATCGACCTCAAATATGGCTTATTATCTAATGTAAGTACTAGCAACTTTACATGGCTGCTCAATCTAATGTTAACCTAGAGAAATGTGCGCTGTTCAGTGTCTGTGTGGAGTGTGGAAGCTGAACAGTAGCTCACTGCAGGACAGATGGAGGCGCTTGTGCAGACACTTACTCCTAAAACACTCCCTAATTTTTGGTCATACAGATAAAAGTAATACATCTTTCAAATCTGTAAAGACTCTACGTTTATTTGTGTGCACTCACAATAACAACAAAACCCGCTTTTGTAAAATAATGAAAGCAAACAGGATGCGCTTTCTGCCGTCTCGGTCTCTGTGAACTTAAGCACGAAACTCCGTGTATATTGCCTTACAGACATTAAACATATATCTATAGAGAGTGAAATGTCTACTTTCAAATGAACCAATTCAAATGGAAAACAGATATTCCCAGATTATGTAATCTGTATTAAACATACAGGTGCATTACTATTGCGGAGATGACGAGTCAGTGTCGCCGAGTTCATCTCTTAAACCGAAAACAAAGAAAGCACTAGTTTATCAGATTATTAAAATGTTAAAGCAGCCTCCTTACTGTTTTTCCCTGACACATTCATAATCATTACTTCTGCCGGTGCGCTGTGG